TGGCGGCCATCATGGAGAAGGCTGCAGGCAGTGGAAACCTTACAGTATGGGCTTTAATTTAAAACAAATTATTAGATTAAAAGAAACAGGCCCTTTTGGGGCTATTTTGTTCATTGAAGTTTTTTTTTTTTAATTTTTAATTCTAATCTGTCAGTTCCTGACAAGTCTTTTCCATGAGTTTAAATCATTTTATGTTGGGCTGCCTTCAGGCCTCCTTAACAAAAGAGATCTGTGATCTCAAAGGGGTTTGTCTGATTATATGGTAAATGGTAAATGGACTGTACTTGTATAGCATCTTTCTATCTTATCAAGATACTCAAAGCACTTTACAACACAATCTGTGACCTCGTTTACCCATTCATACAGCGCTCTACTAGATCTAAACAAAGACTAATCAGTGCTTTATCACATTCATACACTGATGGGACACACATCAGAGGCAATGAGGGGTTCAGTATCTTGCTCAGGGACACTTTGGCATGTGACTGCTGGTGGAATCGAACCCCCAACTCTTGAGTTTGAAGGATAACTGCTCTAACCACTCAGCAGCAGCCGCCCCAAGAAGTATACAAAAGGTTAATACATAACTAAAAATAAAGTTTGGTCCTTAGCGAACCATCACTTCTATTAACATGCTGGTATTCAGCAACAGTGGCACAAATATATACATGTACACGTTACCTGAATTCGGTTCAAAACAGGAAGCCATGACTCACTCTGCACTGCTTCTAATTGGGTCAGATTTAGGTAATCAGATTATGATGATGAAGGAATTTAATTCAGATTATTTATGTACAGTGCCTTGCGAAAGTATTCGGCCCCCTTGAACTTTTCAACCTTTTGCCACATTTCAGGCTTCAAAACATAAAGATATAAAATTTTAATTTTTGTGAAGAATCAACAAGTGGGACACAATCGTGAAGTGGAATGACATTTATTGGATGTGTCAAACTTTTTTAACAAATAAAAAACTGAAAAGTGGGGCGTGCAATATTATTGGGCCCCTTTACTTTCAGTGCAGCAAACTCACTCCAGAAGTTCAGTGAGGATCTATGAATGATCCAATGTTGTCCCAAATGACTGATGATGATAAATAGAATCCACCTGTGTGTAATCAAGTCTCCGTATAAATGCACCTGCTCTGTGATAGTCTCAGGGTTCTGTTCAAAGCGCAGAGAGCATCATGAAGACCAAGGAACACACCAGGCAGGTCCGAGATACTGTTGTGGAGAAGTTTAAAGCCGGATTTGGAGACAAAAATATTTCCCAAGCTTTAAACCTCCCAAGGAGCACTGTGCAAGCAATCATATTGAAATGGAAGGAGTATAAGACCACTGCAAATCTACCAAGACCCGGCCGTCCCTCTAAACTTTCATCTTGAACAAGGAGAAGACTGATCAGAGATGCAGCCAAGAGGCCCATGATCACTCTGGATGAACTGCAATGGAATGGTTCACAAATGAACATATCCAGGTGTTGGAACGGCCAAGTCAAAGTCCAGACCTGAATCCAATCGAGAATCTGTGGAAAGAGCTGAAGACTGCTGTTCACAAACGCTCTCCATCAACCTCACTGAGCTCGAGCTGTTTTGCAAGAAAGAATGGGCAAGAATTTCAGTGTATCCATGTGTAAAACTGATAGAGACATACCCCAAGAGACTTGCAGCTGGAACTGCAGCAAGTATATATATATATATATATATATATATATCATAATGTGTCTGTTATTTAGAATAATGTATTTTCAATGTGTGTAAAAATGTTCAAACTTGTTTTTTGTTGTTTAGAGCTTCTGTGCTGCTTTCAATAGTTTGAAAGTTCAAATCTGCTGATCGAAGGATTTCAAATCATCTGACCTCAGTGCTGCACCAAGTCCTCTATTCTTTACATCATTAAGTTAAGTCAGGTACATTTGGGGCATGCCAATTGATTTTACTGCTTTACGTATTTCCGTTTAAATCATTTTACTAGTAAAGTGAATGAAAAATAGGTTTTCAAAAAAATGAGGCGCCAAATGTCACCGTTTTCAGGTATTTTAGAAGGGCAAGATGTTAATTTACTTAGAAACTACAGATTAAATTATAATTTAATAATCATTTTGTATCAATGTTTTGATTTAAACAATAATCCAAGAGAGGCAGCCTGATAAAAACAACTTTATAACAAAGTCGTGATGATGAAGCTAGAAGACGAAACACGAGGGAGAGAAAAACACGACCTGACAGACACGAGGAAGCAGTAGAGACCTGGCGAAGCAGAGAAAACACTAATAAGACAGGAAGCAAAAGCAACAAAAACAAACAGGCAACGACCCCAAACCACAAAAATAAAAAATTGATTCATAGGAAAAGCTCCAAAATCCAGATCTTTCTGTGAAAAAACATGATTCAACAAAGAAAAACTGAGAACTGTTGTGAATCGTGTGCAGGCTGATAAATATTTCATCAAACATTCAACGTTTGCTTGGAAACAATTTGACTTTTTCACATTTTAAACCCAAAAACACCAAACAGAGCAGTCTGTCATGGTCTGCCAGGTGATGCTTGAAATTCAGAGTTTTCTGTGCCTGAGAGTGGGATGTTGGAGCTGCATATACATGCTTGTGTAGGAGGAGTGTGTGTTTGTGTGTGTGTGTGTTGAGAGCCAGACCTGTTCGCTCATGCTGTTGATGCCATCAGGCCCCAGCAGGTTGACGGCCTGCTTGACCAGGTCCGTCCGCCCGCAGTTGAGCATCCTGAAGCCCAGATCCTGCAGGAACTTGGCCTCCGTGGAGGCTGCGTCCAGCTTCCTGGTGGCGCAGAAACAATCCTCCGCTCTGCCGATGAAAACAACACATCACTGGGATTAAGTGGGAGCTTATCTCAGAAATGGATTTTCGAGGTGTCCACCTTTTCGCCGCACGTTCCGCATGCCGAAGACGAAATTACTGTTGCTCTAATTTTCACGACTAAAACAAACTGCAGCTTTACCAACACTGAGCTGTTTGCATTCAAAGTCAATATGAACGCTCCTCGGCCTTTTATTTGTTGCAGCAGCTTTTCTCCGGATGAGAATTTTGCTGCGACTCATTATTTCTCCGGAGCGCTTCTTAATCGATGCCGCGAACAGCTGCAGCTCCTGACGGGGTCACGCAGAGACCTCCTCGTGATATTTGTCTAATTCCACCCGACAATTATAGCTGGCATTTACCAAAAGATGCTAATTGGCTAATTTACACCTCCGGTGTTCCGTTGATTACTTTCTCTGCAAATATTTGAAACATGGAAACACTCTTAACCTGCTGACTTTGTAATAAATAAATAAATGAAAGAATTACAGAGTGAGACTGTGAGAGACAAAAGGTGCTCGGCTGTGGATAAGAGGAAGAAAACCTGTGAGAAATACTTCATTTAGTGCAACATATCGAGACTAAATGTTCCCAGGTGCCTCAGCCTAAAATGATCTCAAAATGAAAAGAGATGATAAAGTTTAACACTTTTATTTAGAGTCATTGCATGCAAACAGTAGTAATTTGGAAAAAAACATAGGTACGTTTATTATTTTTATTTTCATTACCATATTTTTCACACTATAGCACTTTAAATCCTTTAATTTTCTCAAAAATTAATAGTGAGCCTTTATTATTTATTAATTCTGGCTTTGCTTACTGACCTCAAACCGATCTTATGTGGTACACGGTGCTCAAACATCTGTCAAAATGTTTTAGTTGCTTATTGCGTCTTATAATCCGGTGCGCCTTATAGTGTGTAAAATATGGTAGTTATTTGACAACGCAAAATAAAGACTGGATTTTGACAAACTGAAAAAAACCCAACCTGAATTTAGCTAATTTTCAAATCAAAAAACATGTTTCTAATGGAAATCATAAGATATTCCAGAGATCTTCTAGTTATTTCCTCGGTTTAAATGACATAAAATGAAAGTTTTCAGGCCTAATGACCAAAAAGACATTAAAGAAGAAGAAGCATATTCCACAAATCTAATTTATAAATGATCAAAGTCCTGTATAAAACACATGACATGCTCCGTTCTAACATTTTGTATTTTTGCATGTACTGGGGCCAACTTTTTCCCAGATTCTGCCATAATTGTTTTATAATAAGTTCAACTATTACCACATAATACTCTGTGCTTCCATGAAGATTTTCCATGCAGGTGAAAATCACAGGGACGTACTATGTTTTTAGCACACGAGCTGAACTGATGATCTGAATGCTTTGGATTCTTTTCCTAAACCATCCTGTCGTTATCCTATCCACCTCCCCTCAGGGCTGTGTGTTGAGCCCCCTCCTGTTCATCCGTCCAGAGGACCTGACTTAACTTTGTTAGATTTTTCTATCTGGATTATTGAGAATGCATTAGGACATGAGCTGCTGTATTCATACCCATCTGCTCACAACAGACTCATGTTCAGGCTGCTGTTTAATACACCATATTATATTATTATTGTTTAGTATGTATATTAGATCCTTGTATACAATTTCTTTTTTATATTTTATATTTTTGCTATTTTTGGGTGTAACTGGGACCTTGAGTACCGTATTTTTCACCCTATGAGTCACAGTTTTTTGCATAATTTACATGCCCTGTGACTTATACGCTGAAGCAACATATTTATGGATTTTTCCCCATATTTATAAACCAATTTTTGGCTGAGATATGACCATTTTCATTCATTCTGACTGAAAATATTGAACACTGCCATTTTCAGCCACTAGATGGCACTCAAGCAGTATGACATGCCATTGTATTATGAAATAGGTAAAAGTGGCTATTAATAACACAATCGGCTTGCCTTAGACTGCCACCATCGTCTGCCTGGAGCAATCAAATCAGCTTCATTTTGCTGCACCGCCCCAGCGAAATGCAGTTAATTTGACCATTGAAGTACATTTATTAAGTAAAAGTTCAACTGAGACACAACTTTACTATAAAGTCAAGCAAACAAATAATTGTTTTTAGGTGGTTATCTTGTTAAATTTTGAAGAAATGCACAGTGAGTCGCCCTGGGTGCGTTCATGTTTCCACGTATCGGCTTTTGAAATGCAGCTGATTTGACCGTCAAAGTCCTTTTATTAAGGAAAAGTTAGACTGAGACACACCTTTGTTATAATTTCGAGCAAACAAATAATTGTTTTTACGTGTTAATCTTGTTAAATTCTTGTTAAAGTCTTCCCGTACACACTCCCGTGGCTGCCATTTTGCAGCCAATTGATTTTTGGCACAACATGGGCCCACATTTCCGGGTTCGACTCACATTTCTGGGTTGTCCGCGGTGATGCATAACAAACGCGACACGTCAGCGGTGAAACATAATAGATGTGACTTATACGGTGAAGCGACATATTTTTCCACTTTATTAGACATATTTCTGATGCGACTTATGTAGGGCGGTGTGATGGGTACGGTGGAAAATATGGTACAAAATTTTGTTCCACCTCATGTACCACATGTGATGCGAATGACAATATAAAGTCACCTTGAACGTTGAATCTTATATTCCTGTGTTGTGGTTTTTCTTTATGATAATGTGTATGTATTGTCCTCATTGTATGTTCCCATACAATGGCAAAATTTACTTTCTGCATTTAACTCATTCACCACCAGGTGGAGCAGTGGGCAGCTATTGAAAGCACTCGGGGAGCAATTGGGGATAGGGTGTGCTGCTCAAAGACACCACAAGATGTACAATGACTTAGCATCGAACCTGGGACTTTCGGGTCCCGATTCGGCTGCCCTGCCTCTTCACCATCTTGGATGCTGTCCTGACGGAGGCCAGTATCATTATTTCTCTGTGTATACGTCTTACGCTCGTCTTTGGGGGTAAGACTTTCAGATTTATTTATTTATTGCTCAATATTAAATTCATAAAATTCCAAATGTTATTTTTTTGTTGAACTCTCTGTTTTGGCCTCAGCAGATCCTAACTTTTGGCCAATTCTCCACCAGCTGTCGTAAACAGAGGCAGAAGTTCCCTGTCCAAAGAGAACCATTAAATTCTCTTCAATATTGAGTGTCAGCTGGTAAAACCAGAGATAAGCGCTCTCCTTCTTACTTTATCTGCCGTGGTTCACAGTCCACCCCGGGGAGCAGCAGCCTGGCGGCCTGCCTCACGTCGTCGCTGTCCACAGAGAAACTTCGCCGGTGTTCAGTGTGGGCAACCGCCACCCGGATCCACTCCATCAATGGAGGCAGCACCAGGAACGGCCTGTGGAGGAAAACACATTTCAGTACACCTGAATGCAAAGTACTTTAGGGGAACCGTTTGACTGACTTGAGACCATGTTGGGAAAGCAATGCACATGTGCATTTCTGTAACCCTCTCAAAAAGCAATTCTGTTTAAGTTTTCCACAAATAAAACGGGATTTGGGGCTATTAAAAAACAAATCAGAATGTGTACATTTTTATTATTCTGTTCTGTCTTTTGCGTTTTACTATTAGTTTTAGTCTCCTTTTGTTATGTTTTATTGTCCGTAATTTTGGGTTTTCAATTATTTAATCTTCATGCCATCAGTCACTTCTCCCTCAGTCAGCACTTTTCCAGCCAGCCCATCTCCACCTGCTTCACCTGTCGCAGCTGCAGCCATGTCTCTCATCAGCCCCAATCTTTTTCGTTCCTCAGCTTCACTTCTCTCACCAGTTGAGCACTGCTGGTTTTTCTTTCATACGTCCGGTCCTCCTTATACCTCCCTGTGCCTCGTCTCCAGCCCTTATTCTTGCAAAAATAAACTTTAGTTTTATTTGAAGCTCCTGTGGTAATCTTTTGCATAATATATATATATATATATATATTTTCCCACTGATAATTTCAGAATTTGGATGAGTTTATATACTTCTGTAGCCTCCTCGCAAATAAAATCGCTTAAAGCAGACTTTATTCCGGCACCTGAGTCCAAAGAAAAGTAATTAAAGATGTCCTTCTAGATATCTAAACAGCTGCAGCACCAAATCAATACTGATAATTTATGACTTGGATAGTTTGGAGCTAAATGAGCTTGAGATGTTACAACCTCCCAAAACGCTGTTATTATCATCTTTAATCAAAAAGAGCAATGGCCTCGGCTGACATGGCTATTTTTAAAAATTCATTTAAAAACCGTGTTTGTGTTTCAGTTGTGTTCACAAAACCCCCACACATTACTCTGTCTGAAATCAATCAAAGTTCAAGTTTGACATTTTGATTTTTATTCGTTTACTATCAAATTAAAATGTGCTTCACTCTGTATAGCCTTTTTCCTCAAATAAATAAGGCTATAAAAATTAAACACACGCAGATGAGATAGAAGGAAAATGTTTGTAGCCTTCATTTTTATGATGTAAATGAAAAATAAACACAACATCTCAATTTATCTTATTGTTACTCCTTCATTCATCTGAACTTTAAGCAACCTGCAATAAAGCTCACGCTCCTCTGATTGGGTAACTTTCAGAGGGTGTCGGGGTTGACAGATAGGAAATGACTAAATATCATTCTGTTGCTTTAAAATGATCATGTCATTGAGAGCTTTTCAACTGCTTGACAATAGAAAAAGTTTAACAGTAGTGCTCCTAATCCCACGTAAAAACGTGGCATGCAACCAGTAAGGACATGCATGAGGTGAGTCATTATGGTCAATAAGACAAAAAATTTTAATCCTTTTAATTTGTCTTGTCATGTAATTTCATTAAAAAGTCACTTGTTCTGTGATTTTTATTTATATATTATTCATAAAGACTAATAATCCATGTACTATTTTTATACATTTTAAATTGGGATGTGATGATTTACAGACCCACATTTGCACGATGCAGTAAAATCCAATCTGTTTAATTATGATATAAAGAATCTACAGGTGTGTTTGTTTCAACAGACACCTGCTCGAAAGGAAAGCAAGTAATTAAAAAAAATAATAGTTGTGTTTACTGAAAAATATAAATGCAACACTTTTTCATGATGAACTCAAAGATCTAAGATGTTTTCCATGTGCACGAAAAGCCTTTATCTCTCAAATGTTCACAAATTTGTGTATATCTGTTAGTGAGCACTTCTCATTTGATGAGATAATCCATCCACTTCACAAGTGTGACATATCAAGATGCTCAATAGACAGCATGATTATTGTACAGGTGCGCCTTAGGCTGCCCACAATAAAAGGCCACTCTAAAATGTGCATTTTTAATGTATTGTGAGGGTTCCCGGGGGTCAGAAAACCAGTCAATATCTGGTGTGACCACCATCTGCCTCATGCAGTGCAACACATCTCATTCACATAGTTGATCAGGTTGTTGATTGTGGCCTGTCATTCCCCAATCTGTTGTGAAACCACGATCCATAGTGTACTTCCGGGTTGCACGGCTCACCGTCGTTTCTGAATAAAAACTGTCTTAATTTACTCACTGCAGTTCTCCTCCTGAACACTAGGTGTCGCTACAAAAAACATCCAGCAACTTCTCAGCCATTGAAGAGGAGCAGACCAGCATTCCACAGGCCATGTGGTTACCCAATCTGTTGCCGAACCCGATCCGTAGTGTAGCTCATTTGCGCTAAAAGGAATGCTTCCGCGTCGCACAGATCGCTGTTCAATATGCTAGATTAAGGAAAATGTACTAGAAACATTCTGTTTATGAATAAGAACTGTCTTAATTTACTTTGAAAATGACGTGCTCCATCTCCACCGCTTCATGTAGCTAATTTACGCCACTCATATTTCCGTTACAAATCATTGGTTAAGATGATATGCGACGCATTAGACCTGACCCCCAGCCTGGGCTGAATGAGGAAAAACCCTGCAAGATACAGAATGAATTATTTCCATGGTGAAACAGCGCCGCTCCGTGGTGAAGCTGCTTATCATTTTAACCATGACGTAAAGATGTCATGATTTTAACGGAAATACGAGTGGCGTACATTAGCAGCATGAAAATCGGCGGAGATACAGCACATACATTTCTAAGTAAATTAAGACAGTTCTTATTCATAAACAGAATGTTTCTAGTACATTTTCCTTAATCTAGCATATTGAACGGTGATCTGTGCGACCCGGAAGCATTCCTTTTAGCGCAAATGAGCTACACTACCGATCGGGTTCGGCAACAGATTGGGTAACCACATGGCCTGTGGAATGCTGGTCTGCTCCTCTTCAATGGCTGAGAAGTTGCTGGATGTTTTTTTGTAGCGACACCTAGTGTTCAGGAGGAGAACTGCAGTGAGTTTAGCTCCTTCATTAAAGCACACTTAGCTGAATGAAGGATAAACACCTACTCATTTTTAAAAGAAGGGTTTTAAACCTCTGGAGATATTCTGTAAATCACAGTCCAGTTATCTTCACCCTGATCATTGGCAAAAATAAAATAAATAAATTTATAAAAAAAATTTTTTTTAACTAAACTGTAAATCACTGTGGATTGAACACAGCATGGACTCAAAGTCACTGACCCATGTACAATCATCTGCACGACTGATTTACCAAAAGTTGTTTTGATAGCATTACATTTTAATTATTTGAGTCTTTTAGTTTTTTAATTCTCACCAAAGCAAAGCTCCTTGGCTTTCACAAATGTTAATATCATAAAAAAAAGTTTTTTTTTCTTTTTACAGCTATATGTGAATACAGGTACGTTGGCATTTTTCCTCATTTGCAAACAGTTAATGAGGCCACATTGTGGACTTATATATTTTTTTTATTGTTCAAAACAGAAAACTGTATTTTCTTGCTCACTGCTGGGAACATGTGAATTATTGCTCTGGTTCTTTAATAACTGTGGTCAAGGTGTAATCAGAGTTATCTAAATAACTGACATCATCATTTTTAAATTAGATGCATAAAAAAAGCTCAAGCCTGTGTTGTAGCACATCATATTGAATCAAAACGAATTCACAGAATCCTCCTTTAAAAGTAAAAAGTAAATCCTGCTCGTTTGTACAGCAACAACAATCCTTTCAGGACTGTAAAACTGTCCTTTTGCCCAGCTATAAACTGATAATCATGACAAACAGAACAATAAGCCAGGATGTGCTTTTTACTTTGCCCTTCTGCTTAAACTAGGATAAAAGCTGTTTTTTTTCTTGCTTTTATTACAGATATTAAGCTTCATTCCCACACCACTGTGTCCACCTATCTTGATTATGTCTTTAAGATGTCAGCTATTCAGGATGCTACAAAATATCACTACTTATAATAGAGTTAGAGCTTTTTTACAACTCCCACGATGCCACATTAGATGGCAATACAGCTGAAAGTTTCCCTTTGAGGCGTTTATACTATGATGTAGCCTCGGTTTCACAGTTAAATCCTAAAATATTAAATTTAACAGGTTGTTAATGTGTGTTAAATTCTATTACAATCCCATTAGTAAGAAGAGTCCCTTTAGAGTGATTCCTCCATTATGCTCCTGAGGGGGTTTCTAGTTGATGTACAAACTGGTATAAGAGGCGAGAACGTACCCAACTGAGCCCAACCATCTGGGACTGTTCAGTTTATTATTTGTGCAGCTGCCAGGCTCCTTCTGTAAATCTGCTGTAAGCACATGTTTAATAAAAAAAAGCAGCTTTTAGATATTGACGCTTGGTGTTCGGCTGCATTTTGTGTCAGCAAACCGAGCTGTTGTTGTTTTCTGCGGGGGGTTTGAACTCTGGTGAAAATATTAAAAAGTAGTTTTTTGTTTCCAAATGTTCAACAGCAACTAACATGGAAATCCTCCATCTTCACTGAGGGGGAGATTTACCTTCTGTCTGGTGGTAAAAATATATTTTTAGAGTTTGGTTATGCAAACACTTGGGGTAAACACATCTTTATCTTCATAATTTTATTATACAAAATCTTTATCCTTGATTTTTATCATGACATGGATTCAACATCTGGTAAATTTGAAACACTCCATAGTTCAGATGTTACAGGGGCTCGTGGAGTTTCACAATCCCCTGAAAACTATTCCATCGGATTTAATCGCACGCCGTCTCCTCATCCCACACTGTTATTCGGCTCCTTTCTGCTCGTCTCCAACCTCTCAGCCGAATGCTAAGCAGCGTTTTGTCTCTCGGGACGGCAGAGCCCGCTGACATGTCACTCCGCCTGACATTCCTCGTGCTCCCCTGGGTCGCCAGGATGGAGTTTTATCTTTTCAGAGAGGAGAAAAGATGTTGGAATATCTGTCCGTCTGCACTTAAGTGAACCCCCCACCCCCTCTCCTGGGTTAGGAAGTGTCAGCACTGACCGGCACACACAGCATTTTACCAGATCTCTCATGGGGGTAAATAACTTGTGAGTGAGGAAGCAGATATATGTTCACTTACTATGTTTTGAAGGGGTAAAAGGATAGTTCAGACATTTTTCAGTGGGGTTTTGTGGAGTTGTTCTGAAACAGCTAAATCTGCTTTGAAAATAGGTCAGACTGCTGTAATAGCATTGATCAGGGATGGCGTCATGGGGATTGTGTGGAATTCCCAAAGTACCGGATGTCTGGCAAAAAAACGCAGCAGACCACATGCATAAAGGCTACCACCAATGGTGTTGTCTGGGTAAACTTACACAAAGATGATGTTCTCGCTGATTCGAGCTCTTTTTCCTTTTGCCTCGGTGAAAAAGAGTGCAGATGACAAGATTTCATGTAGGATGCATGCCATTGAGTTGCCATGCACAGGTTTTCAGTGGCAGGACGAAGAATGATTTTGCCAGCCCCTTATTTTATTTTACTTTGTTGACTATTAGCCATTAGTTGTTAGCGATCGGTTCTTTTACTTTATTTTTCACAAGTGAAAATGTTCTAAATGGGAGCAGAGTACCTGCAGCCACACAGTAAACAAAGGTTGAGGTAATACATTTTGTACCTTGTGTTTTTTGCTGATTGTACATATGCACAAATGTAGATAACCTAAGCTCAATAACTAATCATTTATGTATTTATGCACTGTATTTTTCGTGGTATAAGTCGAGTTTTTTTTTTTTTTTTTTACATAATTTGCATGCCCTGTGACTTATAGGCCGAAGCGACGTATTTATTTATGATTTTTTTCCATATTTATAAACCAATTTTTGGATGAGATATGACTGTTTTCATTCTGACTGAAATATTGAACACTACCATTTTTAGCCACTAGATGGTAGCAGAATAGTATAGCTTGCCGTTGTATCATGTAATAGGTAAAAGTGGCTATTAATGACACATTTGGCTTGCCATAGCCTGCCACCGTTGTCTGCCTGGAGCAACCGAATCAGCTTCATTTCGCTGCGCCTTCCTGGCAAAATGTAACTGATTTGACTGTCAAAGTGCATTTATGAAGTAAAAGTTAGACTGAGCCACACCTTTACTATAATGTCGAGCAAATAAATAATTGTTTTTAAGTGTTAATTTTGTTAAATTCTTGTTAAAGTACTCCCGTGCACACTTCTGCGGCCGCTATTTGGCAGCCAATCGATTTTTGGCACATCACCAGCCCACATTTCCGGGTTGTCAGCGGTGACGTGTAACAAGCGTGATGATGCATAATAGATGTGACGTATATGGCGAAGCGACATATTTATGAATTTTTTCACTTTATTAGACATATTTGGACTGATGTGACTTATCGGGAGGTGGACGGGTACAGTGGAAAATACGGTAATTTATTTTCACAAAACCAGCTACTAGGGAGCACAAACCAGTGTCTCTCCTGTGTCCTTTACCAACTTTTGATATAGTTGTTTACTATTTGGAGTGCACATTTAGTTAACTTCCTTTGTCAAATCTTGCTGCAGTTATTTTTTTGTCATTTGCAAAGATTTAACTTTTGTTTCTTTGAGTTGCCAGTTCCTGTGGGGATGCTGCTGAATTTGTCCTGACACTCAATGCAAACAGCCCCAGCTGCATCACATAAACATATCAGTCTAACTGGGCTGTACCATATCAGCAGAGGGAGAAGTTAAAATATTGTAATTTGATTTTGTACATCTTTGTCTAAATAATATTTGTTGTTGTGAATATATATTATTTAGCACTAATTTAATCAGTTTTATTTTGTTTCCAACACTATTTGTAATTTAGTCCATTTAATTTGTTATCCCCCCAGTGTGTCAGAATGGTCTGATCAACCACTTTATAAGTTCCCCTCTTGTCTCAATCAGGGGGTCAGTTAGTGTTTTAATTTTCTGTGTTGTACCTTTAGTTAAATTTTGTTCTGTTGACCGCTTATGGGCCCAGAACTGCAGTATTTTGAGGTTTAGTAAATATATTTTAAACTCTTTTAGGCCAATCTCCTGTGTCTCTCTTGTGGACATTAACACGCCTAAAGAGACCAATTAGTGCAGGCGGGTTGAAAAGGACCTTCAGTGCTCCTGTTAGTTTCTGACACGAAAGGAAAAAGTGGTTAAAACGTAATGGATGGATGCTCATACCTGTTTTGGGACTGCAGTCGCTGGTATGGGAGGGGGCTCCTCTGTTGGTCCGTTCCCTCCAATGAAGTGTTTTGACAGTGTACTCCTTTTTTTTTTTTTATTGTAATAGTATGTATTAGTATGTTTTTACATTGTCCAGTCGAAGCCAACTCAACCACAGAGTTGAATCCAACAATCGCATTTCTCTCCTTGGAAACGGCAAAAACCAAACACCTTGGATATGAGGCTTGTTAGCATATAGGCCATCACTACTGCAAGTCCCATAGCAACAATGCTTCTTGGACACCATTTTTCTGCTGTTTTTTTATTATCGGCGTAAACCACGACTACAGCACTAATTATATTGTACTCAAAGTTCTGTTTGCCAGACATCCAGGTATACTTGCTCAAATCACATATTGTGTAGGCAGCTATTTTTAGTAACCTTGACTAGTGCTGTTAGCTTGTTAATACAGTTCAAGAGTTCAAATGTTGTGTAGCGGTTCATGTGAACACTATTTTATAAACCTTTACACTGCCGTCAATTTGGCATTATCAGTTCATTCCATTAGAAATACAAAAGTCCTGCCCAAAATTCCCCGAGACAAATATTTTGCTGCTGCTTTCTGTTATTGCTCTTACAAATAGCCACAAAAGTTCATGTAAATAAACATAACAGACTGTAGCAATCAACTTTGGTTACCAAAATTAAGTCAAACAGATATCTACAACTGGTAAGATACTTATTTTTCATAATTTTTAGTCAGTGTTCCACTTTAACATTGTTCAGCTACTCCTTTAAATATGCCAAATGGAGAAAATCTGGTGGATGTGCTGAATATAGACGGTGGATTTAAACCACGTTGCCCTCATAAGTTGTCAAGTAATTTGTCAGCTAGTAATGCGGAACTACAAGTTTTGACTTTTGGTCCTGATCTGAAATCCAACAGCTGAACTCTGACATCCCTGTTGGACTCACCTCTCAGTTTGTAGGGTGACTTTAGATGGTTCCACGTTGGGGTTCTCCCATTCCATCTGCGGGCAGTGCATGAAGTAACACAGGGTGTAGAGGGCTTCAGGCTCCCAGTGAACCGTGGTGCTGGTCTTCTGATGGACCGGCGTGCCGTTGCTCGGGTTCTTGATGTGAAGCGGCTGGAGGTGGTGCATGGCGCGGGACACTAAATCACCTACAAAAAGACACAATGAGGAATTCATTACATGCCATGAATAAATAAAGACTCTTGAATCAAAGTTATCCTCATTAACTTCAACATTCAGGAGGTTTAGAAGCTCTGCACAGTTCCTGAGTGGGAAACTGATGCCTTAAAAAACAAACAGTTCTGAGTTTTCTCCTTTATGTTCAGTTTCAGCTCAGTTTATTTGTATAATTTATATATATAAAAAATAAAAAAAAAACACCAAGAGACCACATTAAGGATTACTTAAACAGATTTAATTAAACTTTAACGACATATGAAGATCAGTTCACTCAAACTGAGTTCATTTCTATTTACTTTTATAGCATTTACAGTTCAGGTCTAATCAAACATAAAGCAGTAAGGTTTCCTGCAGTTGCTCCCTTCTACAGGAGTCACCTCAGCGAGCAAACTCACATAAGATTTGGCAATTTGTTTTACATCGGATGCCCTGTCTGACACAACCTGGGCTTGAACCTGCAACCTCAGGATTACAGGACCATGGATTACAGGAGTTACCACAGCAACTTTAAATATGGTATTGTATGGTATAAAGTTTATTCATTTTAAAAAAACAAAACAATTCCATAAACTATATAAAAAAATACAAGAGATTTAAAATGAAAGGCAGCAGAAAGAAGAAAAAATCTTATTATATGTGCCCCTTTTTTCAAACAATTTGTTCAATCATTATTATCTTCAAATAAGAGAACAAAATGAATAACTCCTTCTAATTTTTCTAACTCTAATACAATACACACTAAGCTACTTCATATATATATTTTTAACAATTCAGTTTTGATCTTTTTCTTAAATGTACACATTGACTTGGCATTTTTAACATCACTCTCTAGACCATTCCACAATCCAACTCCTTGGATTGAGGTAGACCTTCCCTTCAGACTAGTTCTGAATTTTGGTTTGACAAATATCTCTATCCCCTTAAGATTATAACAACTTTGTCTTTTAACAAAATTTCTTTGGATATTTAACGGTAATGTGTTATTTTGAGCCCTATACATAACTGATAAAATACTGTAATCTACCAAATCATGGAACTTCAATAACTTAAGTTGATAAAATAATGTGCTTGATGGGTGACTGTAATGCTTTCTGGTGATAATTCTTACAGCTCTTTTCTGTAAAATAAAAATAGGTTTTGTAAATGTTTTACACGCTTTCCCCCAAACATCAATGCAATAGATTAAATGTGGAACAATGATTGTGTTATACAACATGTACAGAGCTTTATCATTTAATAATTCCCTGACTTTGTATAGTACTGCAATAGATTTAGATATTTTTGTTCTTACAGAATTGATGTGATTTTTCCATGTTAGCTGTTCATCAATGATTACACCCAAAAATTTCATCTCATTAACTCAACACCCTCAATTTTAAATGGATCATCAACAGTTCTCTTTTTGTTACTAAATATCATGTATTTAGTTTTATCTAAATTTAATGATAATTTGTTAAGTTTAAACCAAGTTTGTATTTTATCAAATTCTGTCTTCATCAATTCCAACATCCGTTTTACATCTTTACCCAAACAAAAAAATGTGGTGTCATCTGCAAAAAGAACACATTTGAGGAGTTGTGATACATTTACTAAGTCATTCACATATAAAATAAACAACTTTGGTCCAAGTACAGAGCCTTGAGGAACTCCACAATTGATATTGCAGAGGTCAGATCTTACACCTGTTAGGATTCCAGATTTAAATATAAAGCACTCCAATTCAAATTTAAATCCAGTTACATTCAGATCTGATTTATCCTACATATTATAATTAAATAAGTCAAATGAACTATTTTACTTCATTTAAAACATTATTTTTGTAATAAAACAAAGCCCAGGTAAAATCAAGCAGACTGAATCTGTTTTAATTTACTTTCTCCATCCTGTCTTGCCTGCAGGCGACCGAGCAGTGAATTATTTTCTTTACATAAAGAGACGTGAAGCAGAACTTGACATAAAGCTTTAGGTAATCTTCTAAACCTGTTAGTGAGCATATCTGTGATAAACATGGGGCATAATTGTATTAGAAAATGCGTGAGCGGCAACCACGTATTAAATTTTCATGCTGCAAGAAAGTGAAAAAGGAGTTGCTACCAAAGCTACTACTGTACATCTTTTAATTATTTATTAACTAATACTGATGCCTTGAAGTTTTCAGAGTTAGTATATATTCATCCAGAAAATGTTCCACATTAGAACAATAAACTCAGAAATAAACGGTTGCAGAAAATGTCAGAACTAATTAAGAAATAAATAAATAAAAGTATAATTGAAATGCTTCCAAATGGAAAAGAAACAAATGAACGTATTGGAACATTCCAAATGTTTTTTTCTGTGTATTTAAATTAATTTACTGGACATGCAGTAATGTTTTATTAATAAGCACAAACCTAAATATGTTTAGGTGAAGTAACCTCTATAAGATTCGATGCACTCTCATAATACCAGCTGAATCCACAAAAAGAGAAACACGTTTTCACGCCTTTGCATGTTTATTTTATTTGAAGGAATTTTTTAAAAAAGGAGACATTTTTGTTGTCCTGAACGCGTGAACTCTAAATTCAGTCCAACAGCAAACGTTTACCGCAGATATTGAGGCATAATTCTCCGACTGATCGAGCTTCACAGCTGGTAATCGATGGGGTCATTAGAGATGCATTTAAGAATAACGATTAAATGGCTCTAAAGAGGGAAAATATTGCAGAGTAAGCCTGCGGTGTTGATTTCTGAGGAAAAAAATCATTGGTCTAATTATTTACACAGTTACTGGAACATAGGAGTTTAAAGGATTCTGGAGGAACGTTAACGTGGTGCTGAGGTAGAACAAAATTCATCTCACAAGACCCTCGGAGCATGTGGAGGGGCATTAAGTGCATAACAGATTATAAAGGAAGGAGTGAACAATGTCCCAAAGACCCATCTCTGCCTGATGCCCTCAACAAGTTCTATGCACGCTTTGAAGACCCGAACAGACCACCCAGCACCAGACTCACCTCACCACCGGATGAAGAGCATCTCAGCGTGACCTCAGCAGAAGTAAGGAGTACCTTCAGGAGGATTAATCCGCACAAAGCAACTGGCCCAGACAACATCCCCGGAAAAGTGTTGAAGGAATGTGCTGATCAGCTCTGTGAGGTGCTGGCAGACATCTTTAACACCTCACTTACCCTGGAGACAGTTCCCACCTGCCTGAAGACTGCCACCATCATCCCAGTCCCAAAAAGCTCTACAGTGACTGGTCTGAATGACTATCGGCCAGTGGCCCTCACCCCGATAGTCGCTAAATGCTTCGAAAAACTGGTCATGACTCACATCAAAACAACCATCAACATCAACGAGGACCCTCATCAGTACGCATACCGTGAGAACCGATCAACAGAGGATGCAATCTCCTCTGTGGTCCACACTGCACTCAACCACCTGGAGCAGAAAAACTCTTACGTCCGTATGCTCTTTGTGGACTTCACATCCGCCTTCAACACCATGATCCCCCAAACCCTGATGGACAAACTATCCACACTAGGACTAAGCCCCTCCATCTGCAACTGGGTACTAGACTTTTTAACAAACAGACCACAGTTAGTGAGGATCCACAACCTCTCCTCCTCCACCATAACCCTCAGCACTGGCTCTCCTCAGGGATGTGTGTTGAGCCCCCTCCTGTTTACTCTGCTCACATATGATTGTGCAGCTACCCATCCAGGCTGTCACATTGTAAAGTTTGCAGATGATACAGCGGTGGTGGGATGCATCACAAACAATGATGAGTCCAGCTACAGGCAAGAGGTGGAACACCTGGAGAGCTGGTGCAGAGAGAATAACCTTCACATCAATGTGAAGAAGACAAAGGAGATGATTGTGGACTTCAGAAGGAACAAAAACACCTACACCCCCCCTGAACATAAGAGGATCTGCGGTGGAAGTGGTCTCCAGCTACAAGTACTTGGGTGTACACATGAATGACAACCTCAGCTGGAGCAACAACACCACCAGCCTGATCAAGAAAGCTCATCAGAGACTCTACTTCCTCAGACGGCTGAGGCGAGCTGGTCTGGGAAGCTCAGTCCTCACCTCCTTCTACAGGTGTGCAGTGGAGAGCATCCTGTGCTC